ATATGGAACTACATAACTTAAGGAAAGATCTCTTTTGCAAGCATTTTCTACTTCAATCATGTTTGGTTCAAATACAGCTGTAAATTAATGCTATACTACAGATCTATGTATAATTATAGGTATTTAATATTGACTTTTAGATTATTATAGCAACTCTTTTTGCTTGTTTGCTGATCAACTATAATTCTGATTATAATATAACTGCTGTGAAGATTTTTGTTGCCATCTCTCTATTTGATATTCTCCGACTTCCACTGTATCATTTGCCAATGGCACTTGGATATATGGTTCAAGTATATACAATTAACATTTGATATTTATATGTTAATTAGACTATTATTATTAGGCTAATATCTCACAAAAACGCATTTGTTCATTTTTGACAGAGGAAGAACTAAATTCTGAATTTAATAACAAAGAAGATTATGATGAAAGTATGTAGTCTGATTCTTTTTTCTAAAATTATTAATAATAAGGCCATGATAATGCTGTATCAATAACTGGAGGTCTATTTTCATGGGGTGATGAAAGAGATGAGTTCCTTTTATCAAAGTATTTAAAATTTAGTGCATGACTTACAATATAAATTTTCCAGCATTGAATTATCAATCAAGCCTGGAGAACTAGTTGCTGTAGTAGGACCTGTCGGTTCTGGTAAATCAGCACTGATATCAGCTATTATAGGAGAAATGAATAAATTAAAAGGATCTGTGGTTCTTAGGGTAAGAATTTTTGACAAATTACAATTCGACTACTTCTGTATTACAGGGTAGAGTAGCTTATGTACCTCAGATTGCTTGGATATTAAATGATACAGTCAAAAATAATATTACTTTTGGTAAAAGGTTCAATAGTAATTTTTATAATGAAGTTCTTAAGGCATGTACTTTGGAAGCAGATCTTGAAATACTACCAGGAGGAGATATGACTGAAATAGGAGAGAAAGTAAGAATTGTTGTAGAAATTTTAGTAATTAGTCTCAATAATAGGGTATAAATCTCAGTGGTGGTCAGAAACAACGTGTTAGTCTAGCTAGAGCAGTCTACCAAGAGTCTGATGTGTATTTGCTTGATGATCCTTTATCTGCTGTTGATTCACATGTTGGCAAGCACATTTTTGATAATGTGATTGGACCGGAAGGATTATTAAAAAACAAAGTGAGTAAAAGTACTCATAGTAATGATGTTTTATGACAGTACAGGTGCGTTTCCTAGTGACTCATGATGTGAGGTTCTTATCTCAATGTAATAAGATAGTAGTCATGAATAACGGTAGCATTGATGAAGTTGGAAATTATTCTGAATTGCTTGAGTGCAATGAGCTATTTTCTGAGATCTTAAAAAAATATAGGCCAACAGATAGAAGTGATGAAGAGAAACAAGGTAAAGCAATCATTTTGGCTTTATACACGCATGTACAACTTTTAATGTTCTGTTCAGATATTGAAAGTCTGGCTAAACAATCCACCTCTGTATCCAATAAAAACAGTATGGAATAAATAATTATTGCTTTCATCAATTAATACTTTTACTATTTTAGCAAAAGAAACAATAATTTATTGTGATGAAGAAATACAAATTGGCATTGTGAGAAGCATGATATATTTATTGCAAGCTATTACTAAATTATTAATTCTAGGTCAAGATGTCTGTAATATTTACATATATAAATTCATATACTTTTACCATGTTTTTTGTTGTCATGGTATTAAGTTCACTAAGTACTGGAGGATACGTTGGTCAGTTGCTGTGGTTAGCACATTGGAGTAATGAGAAAAGCACCAATAACTTGACACAGTAATTAAGCTAAATAAAATTATAAAATTTCTTTGCATTTTTAACCTTTAGTTTTGCTAATCTTGGTATTTATGCTACAATTGGAATTGTACAATCTATGTGTACTTCATTTACTTTTCTGGCAATAGCTTCGGGAGCAATTAAAGCTTCGAGGAAATTTCATAATGGAATGTTGCATAGCATAATTCGATCACCAATGTCATTCTTTGATACAACACCTCTTGGAAGACTAGTAAATAGATTTTCAAAGGTAATACATATTTTTTTAGTAAACCTTAGCTATTTTAAACCTAGGATATTCAAGTTACTGATGAAAAAATAAACATAGCTTTACAAAAAATATTGTTATCACTTTTTTCAACTACTGGTACCATTATAAGCATTTCAGTGGTTTCACCATGGTTCCTCATAGTTGTAGTGCCAATAACAATTGTCTACTTAATTGTTCAGGTATTGTTTGTATCTAATTATTTTAATGCCACACTTAATATTAGCGTTTCTACATTTCAACTTCAAGACAGTTAAAGCGACTAGAAGCCACTTCACGTTCTCCAATTTATTCTCACTTTAAAGAGAGTATCGATGGTATCTCTAGCATTAGAGCTTATAATGTTGCTGAAAGGTTTCGGATACAATTTGAATTTTATGTAGACAGTAACCAGGCTGTTTTGTATTTCAGTGAAAATGCTATAATCAGGTAGAAATCTAAATGATACATCTTATTCACTAATATATGAAATCACAGGTGGTTGTCAATTCAAGTTGATTTCATTGGTGCAATAATTTTATTTTTTGCTGCTTTATTTGTTACCCTTCAACGCAATTATCCACATATTTTTGGATTAATTGACCCTGGTTTAGCTGGAATGTCACTGAGCCAAGCATTTATGGTTAGTAGTACTACTGTGTTCATTGATTAATGTGTATAACCTCTTTAATACTATCAGGTCACTTTATATTTATCTATGACCGTAAGAACATTAAGTGATTTGGAAAGCAGTTTAGTGTCTGTTGAAAGAATCAAGGAATATTTAGACTTACCTAGTGAGGTGAATAATGCAATCTGTGAATAAAAAATTTATACTATATTAGGCTCCTGAAATTATTCATGACAACAGACCAGATCCTAATTGGCCAGAAGATGGTAGCATCCAATTTAATAAATATGCTACACGCTATCGTCCTGGACTTGATCTTGTACTAAAAAATATATCGTGTTATATACCTGGTGGCCAAAAAGTCAGTCAGACACAATGCTTATTTGTGACCCATCATTGTTACTTAAGTTTAATCAAGGGCCTATGTAAATCATACTATAGAGAATATTTTGAGCTAATTTTTAATCAAAAATTTTGAGTTACAAGTAGAAGCTTTAAATTTCTATTTGAATGAGTGCTGCTGTTAGTGATGTGCATGCATGAAAGTGTCAGTTGATGATCCTGTTAGATAGATATGTATCGAAATTTATATAAAGCTGAAAAGCTCTAATTAGATAAATTACATTTATAGGTTGGTATTGTTGGCCGTACTGGAGCAGGAAAGTCATCATTAACTATCTCATTGTTTCGTATCATTGAAGCTGATAAAGGATCTATTTCAATTGATGGTATAGACATTAGTATGATTGGATTGAGTGACCTCAGATCACAACTAACAATCATTCCACAAGTTAGTGTCAATTAACATTATTTAATTTATATTTAATGTCAGGATCCATTGCTGTTCTCAGGAACACTTCGTTTCAATCTAGACCCTTTTAATACTTGTACTGATGATGAAATTTGGAGGGCTCTACACAATGCTCATTTAAGTGCACATGTTCAAGGACTCAGTAAAGGGCTAGACCATATTGTAACTGAAGGAGGAGAAAACTTAAGGTATCTAATTATTCCATAGCTACAGTATTGAAATGTGTTACAGTGTTGGTGAGTGTCAGTTGATGTGTCTTGCTCGAGCTTTGCTCCGTAAAACAAAGATACTAGTTTTGGATGAGGCCACT